GATAATAGAGCTAGGTAAATCTACTTTATTCACAACTAAATAAGTTACAAAACGTTATATTTATAAAGTTAGATAAATAAAAAATATTCATTTCGACCGATTATCGTCATGAGTTATGAAATTAATTCTTGATGACTGAAAGATATGAACAAGAATCGTAATCGTAAAATTCCTGGAAAATAATTGTTCGCAGTCAAAAAGAACCAAAAATTAAGATCACACATGTAGGATAGTTGATGTACACCAAATTTCACCCCATAGATAATAATTACCTATAGCCATTGATAATTACATTTCGATGAAGTATTTTTCGAAGTTTCTTCAATAAACAGTTATTTTTTTAGGAACCGATCATTTTTAAAATATTTATGTAACGAATTAATTCAAGTCAGCAAAAACCGGTATAGTATTATGTATAAAAATAGTTGCTTTTAGCTGTGCCTCGTGGCTAGTATGAAAATCACATATTATGCCTATGTTATTTATTTATTTATTGAACTATTATACGAGTTTAAAACAACTACATGAATTCGTGTATTACATAGCATTCGAAGATATTTTTGAATAATAAAAATATTTAGTTTAATAAAAACAAATTAAATATAAATAATATTATAAGTAAGTCAATTTAAGAGAAAATAGATTAGTGGAAACATGTTTTTTTTTATTAGGTGAAATAAAATAATAAAACAAAACAGATCTTTATTATAATTATTTACTAAGTTCATGATTCTCAAACATGGTTTATTAGAAGCTGAGAAAACTTTGAATGATAAAATAAAATGTTATGATAGTCAATATAACAACTTAAAAACTACTTATAAATAAAATATAAAACAAGTCTGATTCTGCACTGTTACAGGGATTAAAGATTTAGGTAAATAAGAAAAGGATGGTAAGATGAATGGGGCGTTCTAGGTATAACATTATACTTGATAGGTAAAAACAGTAAGAACTTATTTTTAACTTTCTTGAGGTTAGCTATTAATCATTAATCCAATATTATATAGTGACCAGATAAGTGTACCAAAGAACAATAAATTGAAATAAAAATATTCTTGTTATCGAAGTCGACACAGCTTCTATAAATTAATCCTTTTATTTTAAGATTTATATTTTATATAGCAAATATAAGCATATTATGAGTTAATTTAGGTTAAAAATATTCACTAAGGTCCTTAATAATGTCAATTATTCTGGGTAGAGGTACACTATTGATATTATAATCGAAAAAAAGTATTAGAACGTAAACAGGAGAAAGTCATTACTTGACATTTTTTAATATTCAGTGTAATACAATTTTTTTTTTTGCACCCATTAAAAAACAAGTTTAAATCAGATTGCAATAATTCAGTATCTGTATAAAGATTTACAACACAGTTAAGTTTAATATCGTCAGTGAAAATATGCTTCGAATTATTTAGAAACGTAATGTTATTAATATATACATATATATTAAATAGAATTGGGGCTAGGTAGTTGATAACTTTGAGTTACATTCGAAAAAATTAATATTGGTGTTGACCAAAATATTTTTTATAAAAAATAATTTGAGTGCGCTGAGAATTATAAAATTCAATTCATCAAAAATGTTAGCCGCGTATGACGACATAATTCAATTATGTAAAAGAATAGAGTGATTAACTTTATCGAACGATTTAGTAAAATCAGTATACCTAAATAATGTTTATACGTAAATCAACTAAAAAAAATCAATTAAGATATTATGTTACAGTGTTAGTAAATTGGTAGTAGTTAATTTAGATGACTTAAAACCGTGTTGATCATCAACAATAATTTTGTCCAGTCCTGAATTTATCTAATTTAACAAAATATAGATTTGAATATTTTTGGTACAATTGAAAGTAAAAAGATGGGTTTATTATTTGAAATATTAGCCAAGTCGTATGACATTTTAGGAATAGGACGCATAATACTTGTTTTCCGTGTACCTGAAAAATAAAAATATAAACCAGAGGGGAAGAGAGAATACGTATATTTACAGTGTTAAATTGGCTAGCTTTTAAATCAGGCTCGAGACTACTCTTCGAACTAAGATTATATAAAACACTAAAAACATAGATTATGGTAATTTGACAAGAAAATAAAGGTATTTGCAATGAGTTATTTGGAGTGATTACGCTTGAGTCAATTTTAAAATTATCACAATATTTATATACAATAGAAAAACATTGAGTAAAATCTTCAAAGATAGAATTTGGAGAATTGAAATTGAAATTATTTAAATACAGTCAGGTAGAAATTCACTATGCGTTTTTCGTTTATAAATTTCCTATGTTTGTAGGGTTGATATTTAAAATCTTCTTGAATATTTTTTAAGTTATTTAGGTTATCTCATTTAGAGAGAGCTTTACATTGAACATATAAATCTAAAAATTATTATAGTGGTTAATGGAATCAAAGCTTTTAAAATTAATTAATGTAACGTTAGTTGTTTAATTTATTATTATTATTATTATTATTAATTTAAAGGGGCTATCTACATATATAATTCGCTTTACTGCATGCAATGGTTTTCCCATTATAATCCCATGATAATAAATACAATTAATAATAATACAATACTGACTAATATATTACCACACTCGGAAAACATTTTAATAAACATTTCTAATTACTCTATGTCATCTGGAAATGATTTATAATGTATATTATTTAGATATTAAATATATAAACAAAGTAATCAATTTATCGTAAGATTTTCATTATTTCAAAAAAACAATTACATTTTTGAAAATATTTCTTTCATTTAATTTTAAGCCATAACAAAACATCATATTTAGAAAATATTATTTATTTTAATATTCTTATTTCTTAGCGTTATCATCAGTTAAATAATGATAAGTATTCTCCTATAACTCAGGGATCACAATTAATATTTTTGAGAGCCATAAGGAATTTAGTTAAATTTTCAATTCTTATTGCTTAATAACTGCAAATTATAATATTAATACTTATGAAGCTGCATGAAATAAACGTTGTAATACCGAAGAGAACTCTATAATAATAGAAATATTAGTAGCGTTTTATACATTAATTAGACATTGTCAAAAACGACAAGGAAATATTATCAATTAATAATATCTATATAAAACAGACAATTATTTCATTATTGTCAAGTTATTATTTATGGTTTTTCATTAAATAATACATTAAACCGCTCGAATGCATTTTTTTATCTAGGTACCGAATAACTATACCGTAGTCGGTCGTATAAACAAAAATAATATATAACTTCATAGTTGGGAGTCACCACTCATAAATATAATAACCTCAAAAAATAAAGGTCGAAAAATGATCAAAGATGAAACGAAAAAGCTATACACGTAGGTTACTCGTATATCAAATAACGACGATAAAGCGCTAGCGAAACGTATGCCGATACATCATTTTGTACCTATTTATAATTCGTATTATAGATATAAAACAGGGTGATGCGCCAACCTTACTCACCACCAATCCTGATTTTTGGAACTTAGTTGTCTCAAACACCGTACTACCATAGGTATTTGAACATACTAAAATTTGTATTTAATTTAAGAAATGTCTTGTGTGGATACAAACTCCTTTTTACTAGAAATTGTTACCGATTTTTTTATTAATATTAATTAATTAAAATTATAATTTGAAATAGTAGTTCATAAATTATTGAACTAAAAGTTATAACTCATAATAATAGATGTAAATATATTGAGTATAATAAACAAATTAATCAAATAATTAATTAAAATTAAGTTCACTATTTTTTTAAAAAAAAGTTTAGTTTGTAAAAATCGTATAAGTTAATAAGTATTATTATAAGTACGAGACTTAATGTTAAATTTATTTTATATTTTATGTTAAATTGTTAATAATTATCAGTGCATTAAGCTTAATAACTTGAAAACAACAAATTTCAATTGCTATTTAGATGCATCAAAGTTTTCAAAAAAATATGTATTTAATTATTTGCAGCAAAAAAAGAGTGGTTCTCATTAAAAAAAAAAAATTAATAAAAATAAATTAATTTCTCTCTAACATTAAAAAATTTAAAAAATCCAAATTTGAATAAACGCCCCGACATTACAAAAGAATAAAAAGAAATTGTTAAATTATTTGCCTAATAATTCTGGATTATTTCAACAGTAAACAATCATTAATTTGGAAAATATTAATATTTAAAATTTTATTTTATTACTTTTAATTTGAAGTCATAAAAAAAAAAAAATTGAAATAAGTAGATATATTATATGTTTTACAATATATGTTATAATAAACTAATTACCTACTCTCGATATTGGATTATTAAGAGCCTACTAAAAACTTAAAATAATCATAATGCTAAAAGAAGATAAATAATAAAGTTTTATTTCCAAAAATATTGTTTTATTATTAATTAAAACTATCAATGTATAAAATTCCTATCAAAACAATGGATATATACTTTTCATGATAACGAGTATTGCATATCAAAAGAATCACCCTGTATAAGTACACGCACCCGGTGATCAACAGCAGGATTCACTACAAAGATTGATAAAATGATAACGCTGAACGTCCTGTATAATATTATTTTAACATTATGGTTAACGTCCGGTATCTTCGATATCAGCGCGTACATATCATCATAATATATTGTTGTAACATTAGTTGATTATCCGGATTGATTGGTCAATTTTGTTACTCTGACCTGATACGAGTGAGTCGGTATTATTATAATACAATGTCATATATACGCTATTTACTCACAAATACATATTATTATCCATAAGGATATTTTATATTAGCTAGAGTAATGATAGCACAATAATACAACTACAACCATAGTGTCAAACGATAAAGATTTTCGTTTAGTTTTATGTATGGGATATTTTTTCTTATTATTGTTTTTTTTTTTTTTTTTAGCTTAAATTTGTAACGTCAAACAAAAAAATAACCGCAGGAAATGCGTTCGGAAACGTGACAGAACATAACAATGTCAACAACGAAACGGTTTTTACCTTCGGTGGCGTTGCACGCTTTTCCATAATGATCGATTTGTTCCGTCGTAAATCGCCCCTATAAACAAAAACAAAACAAACATACACACATTAAAACATTATAATAATGACTACAATAATGAAAATATTATTTATTTTCTATTTAAAATATAATTTAAAAAAACGTAACTATTGTTTTATATAATAATTATATAGGTTTATACTGAAAGATATATTTGGATAATATGACACACAAAATATAATAATTATAACGAGCATTATCAAGTTCATCAGATATATGCTTTATAATTTAATACATAGTATCAGTGTTACTAAAATATATATTTTATATTAATATTTAAGGTTATTTATCGAACATGATCATTTTTGTCATTTCATTAAGTATTAATTATTCAAACTCTGATTTTTAGAATTTTTGAGTTAACTTAAAGAATAAAAATTAAATAATATTTAATTATTTGATAAATTTAGAACCACTTTTTCATTTATAAATCATTAATCATATATATATTTTTTTTTAAATATTAGCGACTTATCTAAATCAAAATTTGAATTAGTTGAGTCATTAAACTTTTTGTTATAAGTGGTCCTTAGACCTCAATAATGGTTTTAAAATAAGTTCCCTGATAACTTTTTTAAATTATTTAAATTTCATAAATTAATATAAGTTATAATAATTTTCAAATAATTATAGCACTTATATCCTTAAACTTATGAATATGAGCCCTATTTTTTTCAGGCATTAAGTCATCAAGTTTAATAACTCTAACTCATAAATTACTTGTTTGAAATTCATTTTAGATAGGTAAATGAAAATTATCAAAAAAGTCGATTCCTGATGAATTAAATATATTGTATAAAAGTGGTTCATGTTTTAAAAAGAAGTTTGTGTCAACTTTAGACATTTTAAGGACAATACTTAAATAATGTATAAAGTTTATGTATTTTAAAATATATTTGTTTAGTCCTTTATAGACCAAAGTGTACTTAAACATGCTAAAAATCATAATTTAAATATAGTAATATATACTATAAATATAATTATGCCTGGTGACTGTGTTAATTATACACAATTCATAAGAACTAAAAATAAAAATATAATAATACGAATTAGTACAATGTATCCATCTATTCGTATATTATAATTATTGCATAACATTTTTATATACGGATTAGGAATGTATACTGAATAAATTTTAAATACTATTCAGAACGGTAAAAATCGTATATTAATGTCATAATTTTTATAGATACAATTTGTATTTTTTTTTGCTCCAATTTTATTTTTGATCGGGCACAACAAATAAATCACGCCAAATCATCTACTCAGTATCCGTATTAATCCTTATTTAATACATGGAGATTCAAAATATTATACTAGGTACGTAATAATATTTTTACCACAGTTATCACAATATCTACTTCAACCATAAAGGTCGTTCTTCTGGAGAATGCGGAAAGGTGAACAATTATCTAACGTCATTATTCGTTTATTGTTATGGCCAAACAACAAATTATAAATTACTAATGTCACTCATAAGGTCTAATGTAACCGCCAACATATCAGCCAGAATCAAAATTATATTATCATATAAGTTAAAATATGGTCTTTGTGTGTGACCCAAAAACTGGAACCTTGACGATTTTAAAAGCTTACTGATTCATAAAAAAAAGGCTGGATGTTCAAATATCAAATTTTTTGGTAAATTCAAGTAATAATCATTTTCAATTTAATTTCTTCTATGAATAAAAATAATTACATAACCATAGAGGTCTTATAAAACAAACTTTCTAAAAGTAAAATAAATATGAATGTTTGAATTTATTAAAAAAAAACAAATTTTCATATTATTATCATTACAAATTAATTACATAAAAATAATTTAAGTGATTTATTGTAACTGAATCTATAAAAATTAGAAAAGAATTCAAAAATGTAAAAAACGTACATATCTGAAAAATTTAATTTTTTTATTAATGAGGATATAATTAAAAGGGGTACGAATAATTAATTTTTTTTAAAGAAAAAGAAGAGTCTATCTTCTCCACATCCCACTTAAACGCAAGCATTGGATAAAATCAATACGATTTTACTATTTTAATATATAGTTTGTTAGATTGATATTGTTTTTCTTTCTTTCTTTTTTTTTTTTTTTATTGCGTCTAAGTCCTAAGACTTAAAAACACTTCTACCGGTAACAAAAAAAAAACAAAAATGTTCTAATTATCAATTTTGAGAGTGGTTTTTGGTAGTTAATTGAATTTAGTTTGTACTTTGATGACTATGATAACCAAAAAATCTCCTCACTGAATCGTTTTTCATTGTATACATTGATCTATAGTTGAATTCAAATTGAACATAATATTCATTACAGTAATTCAATTACAATGTACACTTAACAAAAACTATATAGCAGAGCGGTTATCTACTTAACGGTTTTTTTTTCGATCCATAATAATTCAAATTTTTCTACGCCAAGAAGCTTAATGATTTAGATTTTAAACAGTTAAAAAAACTTAAAAAAAAAAAAACATATTTATTGTTATTTTTTTTTTTTTTACTATGAAGTACATTAATAAAATGGTATTTAAAATATTATATCTAACAAATTGTTACTTATTAAGACGTTTTAAAAACTTATGCAGTTAACAATAACAAACATATATGTATTTGTGGAGCATTGGTAAAAATAAAAATTGTTATCTTACAATGCACTTAATATAATTTAAAGAGGGCTGAGTTAAAGTTCAATCAACAAATAAAACAATATTAACTTGTTTTATTTAAGCAAAACATTTAAAAACTAATAAAATAACTAGTTAAGATGTGCAAGGATGATAGAATATTGAATCTTACAGTCCCAGTCCCAGTTCCAGTGACTTAACGATCGTAAGAAAATGTTGCACCCGACGCTTAATGATTGCAAATTATAATATTAATACTTACGAAGCTACATGAAATCAACATCGCAATACCAAATAGCGACAATGTGCAGAACGTTGACGAAATCATTTCGTACGTTGATAGCGTTTATGCGGTCCGGAGAATTATTATTGTCGTTATTATCACTCTGTCGCAACACCCCGTCGGAAGAAGACTGTGCACGTGGTTTTATTACCATATTATAATAATATACGTTATACAGGTACAAACTGAACAACCGTCCAGACAGACTTTGGAGTTTGTGATTGTGTGAGTCGTATAAATAATATACAAAGGTTAACATTAAGCTATCTATGGGTCATTCGTTTAGTCTAAGTGTGTTAACCAAATATAATATATTATACCTAATTGTTGTATATTAGATGGAATTAAAATAATATATACATGATAATATACCGTCTGTGAATAATGAATTGTTGTAAATGAAAAAAAAAAACATTATAATTGTAATGTATATTTGAATTTTAAATTCCCAGATAATATTCTACAGTAAATTATAAAAATCATATTGTTATTATTAATAAAAAAATACTTCAAACGATAAATCTTTAGGTTCTTTTATATTCGGAATCTATCAACTTTTAATTGAAAGTGACGACGTCTAGAGTGGTAGATATTCTAAAGTCTGAAAATAAACAAAATATAGAAACACATTAATTATGATCGACATAATATAGTAATTATTATAAACGATGAAGAAAGTTGCATCCGTCATATACAAAATAGTTTTAAATAAGGCAATTCATCAAGTATGCTGACTCCGGCCAATTTCACATTTGATGATCGATTTATTTAAATTCTGATTTTTAAAAGTTAAACAACAATTATATTTTTAAATACTTATATTTTTTTTATCTCATTAAAAAGGGATGTGCTTTAAATTTATTTTTTCATGGAAAAACCACTGTTTTTACTAAAAACTGTTAGCAGATTGTTTATTTTTTTCAAAGTTGTTAATATATTCAGACAAAAATTTGGTTACTGAATTTTGTGTGGTAAGTTTAATAGATCTTAATCATTCATGATATAGAGGGATTCAAAGATATTATGACGATTTGTAAATTAGAGCAGCAAAACCTATATTAATATTTTATAATAATTATTGTAAAAATATTCAGAGTATAATAAGTAGAAACTAGTAATATTACATAATTTCATATTTATTTTAAAATCATTATTGAAAACAGTTTTTCTTAGTTCATAAAGTTTAATAACTTGAAAATTAATCGTCAAATTTTGATTTACATTTTAGATTTAGATTTTACATATATATTACATTTGTTCAAAAAAAAAAAAAAAATTACGTGCTTATAAATTTGTTCCACCACAATACACTCCTTAAATTACATAAAAAATATCTTAATATTTAAAAATGTTTTTTTAGTATATACATTTAAAAATACCAAAAATCATAACTTGATTAAATAATAAAAGTTGAAGTACACAAATGTTATATGTATATAATACTACCTCATATTTTATAGCATGTGCAAGCTTACTGTACATCTAACGTATCGGTTTACAACGACAATGCGTATTATATAATATACATTATGATTATATTTAAATCACACGTGCTATTATATATTAGCATCAAAAACGTGAATAAGAACGGTCATTAAAATTTTGGTAAAAGTCTCATATGCACAACTTTTTACGCCTTTGGACTGCACAACGTGCCTATAATAATTGGCCGCGGATATATCATAGATTTTAATGGCCTAAAGTAAGGCAACTGTCGTTAACGCGAGTCGTGCAGAATATTAATTGATGTCAGGTTTAAAGACAAAAAACAGTCATGAAATTTCTATTCAATAAATCAGGTGTTGCCCTGCATGCTATACAATGTGATTCATTAAACATGCACACCCATTTTTTTCTTCAATAATAAATAATAATGATATCCAAAATCTAATTTTTATAAATTATAAATATACTTTAAGGCCATAATTTTTTAAAAAATTTTAAAATATTTTGTATTAGATACTTAAAGGCTTTCTTGTTAAGATATCTACCTACAAACTATTAATTTTTCAAATGCAACTCACCTTTTCTAAACTGTAAATTATATAACGGATAATTTTTTTCTGAAAATTTTAACGTATTAAAATCACATTTTGAATAAGTTTCGTGTAATTTTTGAGAAATTTAACTATATTTATTGAGTTTGGAAGATACGTATATTCTGGGCTCTGGTTATTTGAAACTTAAGTAAATATTAATCCATATACATTATACATGTATAATTTATAAAAATGGTCCAAGTAAAATAAATACTAGATACAATATCACATCTAATTTTTATTGATAGTTTTTAAGAAATATTATTTTTATTAAATTGGTACATTTTAAAAACTGAGAAACTATGCGTTTGAATTTTCAATTATGGGTATATCAACATTTTTTGAAAAACTGTCCACTAAATAATTTACAGCAAAAAACTAGAGAAAGAGAGTTCTCATTTCAAAAAAAAAAAAAAATGAAGTTTGTATCATCATAAGGCACTCCTTAATTATTAAAATTTCAATAATTTTAAAATATGGAGTTTTTTAAGTTAATTCGAAAATTCAAAAATTCAGAATTTAAATAAATTAATTATAAAAGGAAAAAATTATGGTGGAGATGCTTAGGTTAATCACTCAATATACCAGAAACAAATTATTTGTAAATTTCCAGTAGTATGTGTTGGTAAATAAATTATTATTTCTAGGTTTAGTTTTTATACTTAAAATGTATATCGATTAAGTTATCTCGATCATACATGAATATAAGTATATTACGTATAATAAACCATTTAAACGTATTTTACACTGGTTCGTTAAAAAGTATTGCAATTTGAAAATCAAAAATATTCGTTACAAATTGTTAACGCATTTACCGTCGTATAAATATGTTATTATTATAGTCATGTTGATTCGTTTTTAATTCTAAAAAAAAAAAAAGTGGTTGAAAAATTAATACTTGATTGCATGCATGTAATAACATGTAATAACAAAATAACGAACGATTTCAAAGAACAATAAAATTATGATTGGTTCTTTATTACACAATTGCCTCAGTGAATAAATTTAATAATATCGTCATAATGCATTATTGAAAAACATACTGCCGTGACTAATAAAGTAATAAAACCCGAAAATACCTGGTTATACAATTATTTAAAAATCAATAACTAACTAGGTATTTTTAGAAAAGTTTCAATAAACAATTGCACGCTCTAAATTACTCAATTATAACAAATAGTAATTATAAAAATTTAATTTTCTTTAATCACAGTTGTCCTCTTAGATGGTTTTTAAAATCAAATCAAATTATTATCATAATCATAATCATTCAAACTATGATTTTAAACGAAGCACGCCATTATATTATCAGGAAAATATATGGTTATTACTAGTATTAATTATCAAAGTCACATTAACTAAATAAAAGTAAAGTTAAATTTATATATGTTTTACTTCATAATAAATGTATACGTTCCTAAATCATTATAATCAGTGAAAAATTAATACTATAAAATCCGTATTAAATGAAAGAGTTATTATTTTAAAAAAAAATATCATATTGCGTAATCACTACATATATGACTCCAGTGGTAATTAAAACAAATTAATTAACTTCTTTTTAATGATAGATGTTGACTGAATTAATTTAATATTTTCTCAGTATTAATTTGAAAATTTTAGCATTAAAATGTATTTTGTTTGTTAATTAACTAAATTAACTGAAGTTAAATTGTTCATAAACTTACCCTCTTTAGTAATTTGTTGACATATTTTTAAAAAATATACTGTGAAAATTAAAAATTACCACATCCAAGTACCATAGTAAAATGTTTTAAACTTGATTCTCGATCTTCATAATTATTTAATTTTCCCGAAAAAAATGCACGGTTAAAGTTAATAAAAAAAATCTATTGTATATTTGTGTTATAAGATCAAGTTATACCACTAAAACTCATTTAGTGTAAGCAAAATTCCGAAATTTTATTTTTTCTTGGATGCATTTGATAAATTTTTTTAAACTATTACTTATTATATTAAACGTTGATAATTATTGATTCTAATTAGACGTTAATTAAATTAAAAAAATAATATTTATAATGAATCAAATGTTTAACAAACATTCATTTTGTTTTTGTTTTTTTTTTTTTTAATCATTTTAATTATGACACTTTATTGGAAGATATAATTATGACTTTTAAGTTAAAAACTTAGTACGTCTAAAATATATCGCATCCATAAAATTTTATGGGCATTGGTTAAAAACATTACATTATTATAGTTGGACAACATCATTTTATTTAAATAAAAATATAAAAGATAAATATGTTTTCAAAAAATTTTCATAATTCTTTATGGCTGTATATTATATTGTTATTTATGAATAAACTATAATATTGTTCAATCATTATACTTAATAATATATTAATATCTTAACCAGATTTTAAAATATTTCTATTTATCTTATTAAATTAAGTTTTAAATAAATACATTTACTACCAATAATATACAAAGACAAAATAATATTATATAAATTGTACCATTATAGCAAATTCGTTAATGTTAGTTAATCAATTATTATTATATAATATTTTTACTTACAGTGGGATCAAGAGTGTACGCACATTTAATGAAATCGTACGAAGACTGACAAATTTCTGAACCCTTGTCTAAAATGAAGTAAATTTTGTTGAAAATAAACTGTAAATTAATCGAAATAAAAATTAAACAATTTTTTTTTACCATTTCCATTTCCGATACACTGTTCAATGGCTGGTAATAAAATTTTAAGTACATTCGGAGGTGCCATCATCGTCATCTTGTCTTTGAACATTTTTTTATCAAGCATTCCCTTTTGATTGACCTAAAATTATTAACATGATACGTTATTTTTATTATTGATATAAACAAATTATATATTGGGTAATTCTATAAGTTCTGCAATTTTTAAATATATTTAAAATTTTCAAATTTCCAAATACATGAATTTTTTTATAGTATTTAAGAAAAATCCTATATTTGTTTGGTAATACTTTTTTCAAACTAAAATCACCCCTTTCTTGGATAATTACGTTGATGATTTTTTTAAAAAAATGATGAAGTATTTAAATCAAAATTTGAAACACTAACTTCTGAATTATTAAAATATATAAACCAAAAATATAGTCTTTAAAAACAATAATATAAAATATACGAAATATTTTTGATCTATATAGTTGCTTGTATCTATTTATTATACACAGATACAGTCGAATTCGCTTATTACGATGCCGTGTATAACGATATTCCAGGAGAAACGATTCCAAGCAATATATTTGGTTGGTTTTTATATCTTATGTGTAATACTTTTAGTCGTATATAACGATATTAGTTACAACAACAATACGGATATAGCGATGTTATTTTGAAATGAAAATGGTTTTTTATCTTGACCTATAGCAATTAATAATATATGCACAAGTAGTAAATTTGATTTCGTTAGAAGCAATAATAATTTCTTAATCTTATCTGTAACAGATAATGTGCCTTATACGAAACGTATATTGTATACGACATACTTATTGAAAGTTTATTTTTTCATTGATCAGGTAAGTACTTTTTTTTTTCGGTAAACAAAGATATAAATACGCCAGAAGGCCCAGAATTATCAATGGCATTAAAAAAAAAATTTCTAATTTTGATAAAAATCTTATTCAAATTATAAACAAAGCACTAAAACAGTTTATTTTTAAAACAAATCATAAACATATATATACTATACATGTGTGTTTTTATTAAAAATTATAAATACCTACCTTTAATGTTAAAATATGTAATCTTAAATAAAATAATACAAAACAAAAACGTGTTAATAATTCAATTAAAAAAAAAAATTAAGTTACTTTTTATAATCTGGATATAACGAAGTTCGGTAATAACAATCAGATTCTCTTGGTTCTTTAAAGGCAGTTATAAGCGAATTTGATTTTATTTTTAAAAATTAGAATATGTCAATACATTAATATTAATTAGGTACTATTATTTCCAAATTGACCATTATCCTTATTTGGTAGTAATAAATAATTCAAAAATACTCACTTGAATTTAAATTCATTATTGTTATTGGATATTACTGATATTATTATTTCAAGTGTATATTTTTAACAGTAAAGATACAATAAAAACCATTGATTTCGTATTTTTTTTTTCTAAGAAGTTTATGTTGTCACATGATACACCTCAGCTTTAATGAAATTAAATATTTCAAAATATTCTGGTCCTTGAGTATACTTTAAGTATCCGAAAATTATAAATTGAATAAATTCATTGTGATTAAAAAATCTATGAGCAAGCATGACTAGTGAATCACTCTGTATTATTTATATAAAATGTTAGCCTGCGAATTCAAAACTCAAGCACAAGAAATTTATATTTATCATTTGATTATAACCATAGATAGCTAGTTGTAATGTAATGTACGTACATCATAATTATATACAAAATAAACTAATTAAAACTACAGAGCCAAAGTCCATTCATTTTCTGACTTGGAATACTACATTATATTATATATATAATATATATATGTATATGTATTTAAAATGTATATCTTGTTTAATGGAATCTACATAATATGTACTGTATAATATTGCTCTTTCTAGCCACACTCGATGTTTTAAATTAGTAGGCAAAAGTTGAGTGATTTCTTAATTTGTCATTTGTGCCCTATTATATTATTATTATTTTCATATACTATTATGATGACCGTAAATTAATACAAAGATTTTTATGATAAAAATATTTTTTTTCAAAATTATTATTAATAAATATTATCTATAACTTGTGTCTTATTCTAATATTTTTTTTTATATTTTATTATAAAACTACAAATAATTTAGTATTAGTTACGAAATTGGAAAAAAATAATTGAATAATTAATGATATAATACCTACTATATTTTTATAATAATCAATTATTCGAAGGTAAATCGACAAATAAAACATTTATTTTATCATCGTTATAGAACAAACGAATCCAAGAAAATTAAATAATTTTTATAGAATTCAAATAATATAATTTATATATAATAAAAATATTTAATAATAATTTGACAGGAATTAAACAAATAATAAAATACGGACACAGCACGCGTAGTCCTATAATACAAATGTAGGTATATAAATACTTCATATTTACATAACGGTATACTATAATGTTATTAAAATTAAATTAAATCTAATCTGTATTGAAAAATAGATAAATATACTAAAAAAATAATATGATATAGGTATTATCTGATGTATATTGTAATATAATTATGTTTACAGAATCCATATAAAACTATTCAGTGTAAACAGTTGCCTTAAATAACATACTTATAGTCAAATGTTATGAAATAAATAAATAGGTATTTATTGTTCTAGTCGAATTTATAATAATCCGTTGTATTTTTTAAGTAATTCAACAGAAATTTAATAACGATTCCATGAGAGGATATCAGCACATGAACTTTTCTACATCAAAACATGATGTTGAAGAATTGGTTGATTATTTTAATTCAGATTATATACAATTTCAGTATAAAACTATTTATTATAAAAATTAAAGTAATGTTTATTTGATTTTATCTAGTTCCTGGAATCTAAGGTTTTGTAGATTATCCTTTTCGAAAAATATTTTATTTTTAAAAAATTTTTGTTATTTAAAATTTTATAAAAAAAAAATACTACTATTCCAAAATCTCAAACTAAAAATTGATAATAATATGTTATGTGATAGTCAATAATATAATTTGTTATCGACATTTTTTGTAACAGGTCAATAGGTGGTTTTTTTCTAAAATTATCCTGGATTGTTATTTGACCAATTGGAATGATCATATTTTAACCGTCTGTCTACGTATATAATTTCGTAATCGTGTAACAAACAAAATGAAGCAATTTGAATATTGTTTTAATTGTATTTATACAATTGTACATCCATTTAAGTTTTAAATTCTTAATTTGTTGAAAAAGTTTTTAAAATCGTCTATATTAAACTCCTTAAAAATGTTTGTAGAAAAATTCTTTAAAAAAAAAAAAACAGTACCAATTGATGAATTATGTACATGACGATTATAACGAAAGCATTTTAATACTATAATTAGTATGGTAGTTTTTAGAAGAAAATAGTGTCATAAACTATATCTATTATAATAAAATATAGATAAACCAATATACACATAATAATACTTAATAATATAAAAAATAGGTACTTACCATTTGCATAGTTTTGAAAATACAGGAAAAGTAACACTAAAACAATAATAACCATCATCATTATATTATTATTATAACTATATTACTATATTAAAAAAAAAAAAAAATTAAGTATTAAATTAATGAGTAGCCAGTCATTCTATAGATACGTTTATTAATAATTGTTTGAGAAATTAAAAATATCGTTACTTTTATGTCATTGTTGTTATCAGGAAATTTTCCGTTCTTGATGAAATTAAATACGTCTATGATTTATTAACCATCATATGTAACATAAAATCGGTTTGTATAAATTAAAAATTACATTTGAAATAGTTGTAATTGTGTATAATATCTTACCCTCTTCAATTGAATGTTTCTTTGAACATACATTTTTCAACATCTGTTGTGTTTTTTTAATGGCTGATTCGCTCAAGTACTAAAAGAGTAAAAATTAAAAATAGAAACAATAATGTTAATCATATTAAAAACATTACATAAATATAAATATATTTAAGGCACCTCACTATATAGGAGGATAAAATAATTAACACTCGTAATATTGTATTTGTTAGTGGTACACATGTACAATATAATTACAAGACTCAGTATTATTCTGTATTATCGTTATAAATATACGAATATCGTAGATTAAAATTTCTATCTTTTAGTCGACAATTTTACACGAGTTACTTAAACGATAATAATAATAACAATAATAATCAGGCGCACAGGGTAGAGTGACTATTTTACATTTGGTCTTACGACGGATAGGTATTATTATTTTACCGAATACACAAAATACGAAATTGTTTTTCTGGTTCACGTCCCTAGAAAGCTATCGTATTATATTTAGATTGATAATGTTTCTTTCGTTGAACCATTGTTCAATAATTGAACAGATGAATTTTATACCAAAGCATTGCTATTTTATTTAGGTGTTATAGAATATAGATAATAATTATTTTACCGTAGTTATTACCTAGTCTATATCTATAGTCAGTAACCGAGTGGGCCCATTGAATAGCCGATAATTTTTTGAGTTGCATGAGAGTTTAAATAAAGAATAGCCCCTCATTCGATACGATATAAATATAAATTTCCTTGTTAATAAAAATTGAAAACGATAATAAATAACTATGGATTATATCAAACAGTAAAATAAATAATAATGATAGTAAAGTAAACTGTTTAAACTGCATATGTATACATGGTATTCTTACCAGGTAATCTTTAAAAACAATTGTTAATGAGCTAATTATTATTATTCATTATAGGTTGCTTTGGTATCAAAATTTTTATTAAAAACTCTAAATGATAATTACTGAGAAGTGATATTTCAAAAACATTTTATTACCAAAATATTTATTTTTGACATTTTTTCTTCTAAAATTAATAAAATTTACTGAATCAATAAATATAATATAAATAAATTAAAGTTAATTTTTAAAAAAAAAGTAATTCATTTTTTAAATTTTTAAAGATAAATCTTATTTTTAATATTTATTTAGATTTATATCAATCCAAAACAGCCTATTTCTATGTATTTTGTGGCAATATTACGTTTTGAAACATTAATGCATATTCCAAGATTAACTTTTTCAAAACAGAAATATTGGTTTATAAACTTTATTTATCTTACTATTTTTCTTAAGTAGGTACATAAACATTTATAATTATATATTTAAATTTATTTTTAAGTGTGATTGATTATTAATCAAAATATTATTAGTACAATATACCTACATTTATTATTATTTATTTGTATGTTCTTTAATTTAGTTTTTACCATATTATTAAAATTTCTATTTTCATAATTGTCAATATTATCATGTTACGTTTTGAAAGATGTCTTTATAATTTATTTTTGGTAGTACTTTTTATAAACCAAACCATTTTTGAAATAAACAAGTAATTTTTAAATTAATAAGATTGTTTTAAACTAGATATTTAATAATAAAATACAGCTATTTATAAAATAGCTGCGTTCAAATACTTCCAAATGCTCTATTGTAAATTTTATCAGCAACGAATTTAAAATAAATAAAATATGATATTGAATATTATATGATATATAATCATATTATATTATCATATCTCGGAGTGACAATGTTTAATATTTTAAGTGAGAAAATGCACATCGAAACGTTTCTAAAACGCATACAATATAGTTCGTATAATAATGGATATTATTATTATATATTTATAACAGAATATTTCAACAATTTCTGTTTTCCGTTGTTTGAATATTTTTAAAAATGTAACGGTCGAAAGATATCGTGATAATCTTTCGAAACTTGAGATGTTTTTGATAAGGTGGTGTAAATTTAAATATGAAACTAACAATACATATGACATACTCACAGCGTCGCTATCCTTCAAAACGGTTGTTGCTATAAGAGTAAGCAAAACAGTCGCTGGTAACATATTTATTTTTTTCGGATCGACCACTTCAGCTATGTTCTTTTTCTATTTGAACTGCACCTGCGTGTAAACTATTATAAAAACTGTGGTTTATTGGAGTTTATAAAGTTATATTCGCGACCTTCAAACGGTTCGTATAGATATATTATAATATATCAATTATTACAAAAATTACAAGCTATGTATTATGTTATTAATAACTATAATGTATACTGCACTGTTACTAAAAGTACATTATACAGAGCACCCGAATATAATGACGAGCTCTACGATCAAATGACACGTTTTATGTCAGATAGTTTGGTCACTCAACCGCACAATATGCATATAATTATTAGTTAGTACCCATCTTACATTAGTTATTATGTAATTATCTAATATAACAATACATATACTAACCATATAACCGATTTTATAATCGAAACTTACCCGGATACACAACGTGTAAGTATCATTTTTGAGAAAAAAAAAACATAAGTCACACACGTAATATGTATTTTAATTCGAAAAAAATATTAATCAGTAAATATAAAATACCTATACAGTCAGATTAATATGACGATCGGTCGTGTAAAAATCATAAAACTGAGTGATAGCCTAAAAATGTTATCAAAAATTAAGTATTACAAATGTCTAAACAAAGTTTAAAATGAATTTAATTAAACATTTCACAGAAAACTGTTATTTATTTAAATCATAATAGAATGTCTTAGGCTTTTACGATTAAAATTATTGGTTAATTACAATTATTATTTGAGGATAAATCACTATTTTACAAATGTACAATGCTGTAAAATATTAAAATAGCTCATATAAAATTTACCTCAATACTAATGAGAAATTGTACAAAAAAGTATTACACTTTAAAAGCGTTAAAATTAAAAGAAATGAAGTTTTTTAACTACAAAATAATTTTCAAATAATTAAAATTTCTTTTAAAGAATATAACATAAAATAATTAAGCCTATTTTTTTATATACCTAGTTAAAATAGCAATACAATAAAATTATAAAATTTTGTATGATTAAATCGGCCAATGCCAACGATATTGTATATTATATACCATATAATTCGTATAGTTGGACTGCTCAATACAATATTATATGATATTAATCTATTTATGTTAATAATTATTACCTTTATTGGAAAACCACTTCTGAATGATAAATATTACTTCTGGTCTCTTCGATAACTGTTACACGGAGGTTCTACTGTATAATAATATGTACAATTTTTCATTTATAAAATCCTTACCTACTTAATTAATTTTAAACTATTTAAATTTTAAAGTAATGATAACTTTTTATTGTAACTGATCACCAACATATTTTTGACTCAACTCATTACTCGTGAATAAAATTGAGTTGTGTTAACTGTGTTTAACTGAAAACAAATCACTGATACTCATAATAAATAGTGATGTTGCTCATTATTTAAAAATTGTTATCGTGGATGTGTTTTAATTTATATTTCACGTTAGGTTATAATTATTTAATCATATTTCTACTCTTAAATATTAGTCATCATTCGAAACATTTATATTAATAAACAATGTATACATAATTTTATTGTAATTTAGTTGGACAACATTTTAAATCTAAAATAAATATTTTATTATTATAAATCATAATATTATATAGTTTAAAAAAAGTCAAATTAAAAAACATCCATTCAATATACAACAGTCATTATTGATAACGATAAGTAGTATTGAGATTACAATAAGTATACTGCGATACGAATGCTTATTGTTTTAACTTTGACAATGTCATCATCCTCTATATAAATGAGCAAAAACGTTTATTTTATTCTGGTATTAAACAATGTAAATACTTTATTACAAGTCACACTTATTCAAAATTGTAATATTAATGGTAAAATAAAAGTTTTGAAACATTAAAAAAAAAATCAAATCAAATTGTAATTATAAATGTAAAAAGTTTTTACTAAAAATACCTAAAGAAAACATATTGATTAGGTAATTAGGTATATAAAGATATAATAAGTTGGAATTTGTTAAATATATATTTATTTACAAGTCCGATATAAATAAAATTAACTTAGCCTTTAAGTGATTTTTATGGTTAAAAAAAATATCTTTTTCAAATGTTGGCTTATTAAAAATATTATAGTACTGTTTTTATACTATATAATGCGATTTATATATTAATTTTCTTTACTGAGCAATTATCATAATAGCGTATGTAATAATGGTTGGGGCATCGCCTATTTGCGCCAAAAAAAAAAAAATTAATTCTTTTTGAAAACAGCCCATTCGCGCCAAATTTACTTAGTGTATTTATAATAAAGTAATATATTTTTTCCTCGAACAAGAATCAATACAATTTTATTTAAATTATAGCCAATTGTATGAATTTAAAAAAAAATAATAACTAATAACTAATAATACAAATTATTTTAAACAATAGGTAATAAACAGTTAGTAAGTACATACATATTTTTTTTTTAATTATAAGCTATTGGTATCATATATGGTAATCATATTCAATTGTACGAATTTTTTTTTAAATAATAATCAACAATATACATTTCAATCTTTGTTTTTAAAAGTAGTAAAATTTAGGTATATCAATTAATGCAGATTTAGGATTTGAAGGAAGAGATTTTTTACGAGCACGGTAAATACTTTTTCGTATAGCAGATACATCAAATATAGTAAAATCTGAATTGGTTATGTACTTATGTAGTTATTCATTTCAGTTAAAATAATTTTTCTAGGACGAATACCTATGTCTTCGACAGCCACATGCTTACATGCTGCAGTTATGTTTAAAATCTATAGACTTATAAAAATAACATTTTTATACGTTACAGACACGAGTATACGACGTCTTTTAAATATATAAATTAACCAATTTGTTAATGTAACATTTTTACACAGGTAAATTTGGCACAAATAGGCTGTCGAAAAAAAATATATTTTTTTTATTTTGGCGTAAATGGGCTGAACCCAAAACGAATTAATTTTTTTTTTGGTGCAAATATGTATAACTTCCAATGGTTGTATCAGTGTTAGGTAAAGTAATCAATTAACTATTTTAACTTTTTTTTTTTTTTTATTAGAATACATACAATCTATAAATTTATTTTTGACAATTAGCATGTTTGCTTAAATACTTTAACTAAAAATTTTAACATGCAATTATTATTATATCATTATGTAATTGAATGAACAATAATAATATATAAATTATATTTTATTAAAAAATTTCAAATATTTATATTCGTCCAACTTATATTTCCATTAAACATTTCTAAATGTTTTCATGTTCCAAATGCATGATATACTTCGGTAACAGATTATTATTCATTTAAGTCTAAAATCATTTAAATTGAGTAAATTATTGTAACATATTATTTCAATAAAAAATGTACATACATTATTCGACATTAAAATTATATATAATATTATAGCTTTATAGGTAATTTTATGTAACTACTCTGACAACAAATTCAATAATTAGATTAATCATAAATACATGTATTAAACGGTTCTTATTACATAATGTTTGAAATAATTTATACAATTGTATACCTACCTATATTATGTATAATTTCCTATTGAATAATAGTAAATAAAATAATTGGTACTTGATGACAACAGCCATCTTGATTTTTAATCGTTATGTTAATGTGTTGAAACTAAATAGTAAATAGTAGATACTTAAATATCTTATGTTTAATGTCATAGTTGAGGTGAATTTGAAGCAACTCAAACTAATGTAATAATAATATGAAAGAATAATGGAACACTGCCACTGTGAAGATTATTTTAAAATCAATTCAACGAAGATTATAATCATTTTAATTATTATAGCTTGTAACATAATAATATGTTTAAATTTTGCATACTAGCTAATAAATATAGAACTTGAATTTAATGTCCTAAAAAAAAAAAAATAAAAAATAAAAAAAACGCGAAATTAAAATAGTTATTTTGACAATATAATATAATAAAATAAATTATTATTTAACAAATATTAATATTATTGTATATGTTAATATATATATATAAATTTGTTACGTAATTCGTATCAATTAATAAAATTGACATACAGTTATTATTATGAACATTAGACGTATTATTATAAGATCACGAGTTATAGCATAATGTTGCCTCTAGTAAAAAAAAAATAAAAAATACCCACCTAGTTATATAACTTAATAACTATAAAACAATTTTTTTTTAATTTTTAGTAATTGATAAAAATATTATCTAAAAACTAAAAAAAAATTCTTAAAAATTAGTATTCACTTAAAATAATTAAAACACTTTAAAAATAAACCTTAAAAAATATTATATATGAGGCACTCAAAAAAAAAAAAATAAAATAATTATTCATTGAATTCGTTCCCTGCTACTATAAACAATCTATCCCTTGAAAAATACCCACATAATATATAAAGAAAAATGTTATACTATAATATAATGATATACCTAGACAAATTAAATAAAAGTTTACTTCTTTTTTCTCATAGCCATAATAAATCATTATATGCTAATCTCTTAGTCTATGTATAAAAAAGTTCAAAAAAGTTAATTTAGTGTTAAGTAATTTACGTGGATGTAACAATATAATAATACTCTGCAAATCATTAATTATAAGACATCTAACGAAACTTCACTTATTGTGAATAAGTTTACGGCAAAGGTGATTATCATGAAAAGATCCGTTTTAATTGGTGATGCCTGATTGAAGACAATGTACATGTTCGTGTAGAACAGGCATAAACCAAAAAAATAAATATATTATAGATTGACTTTTATTGCCTCATTATTTTTTCAAGATCAAAATTAAATATTTTTTATTTGTAATCTTTTAGTGGATCGGTTTTTTTTCTTCAATAAACTAGAAAGTACTATTTGCCTCAAATATTGTTAGCTCGTATGAATGTTCTAATTATATTTAGATTAAAATAAGTAAGACGCGATGGGAATATTGATATAGTTTTGAATATTTTAATAACCACTGATAACAGTATTTCTTATATATTATGTACGATTCATAATCGCCAATCGGAATATAAAAAAAAAAATTGAAAATCAGTTGGTATGTTGAAGGAGTGATTTGGCATTTCATTAATTAGTTTGATTGCTATTTTGTTTGCTAAAAGGTTCTACAATAAAGAAGCTATTTAGGGATGGTAATCTAAATTCATGTACCGAATTGTTAATAATTACCGCAAATACAATACTGGTTCAGTTTTAGATGCATTTACAAATACTAACATTTAATTTTTGTTTTATATTCTCAAATATTATTATTTTCGATACTTTTTACTCTTTAGTTATTTAATATCTAATCAATAGATTAACTGTGTCTAAGTTTGAATAATTGATAATATTTATAATACTGCTGTTCAATTCGCTCTATAATAATAAATATGTAAATTAAATCCTCATAACATTATTTATCATTAATATGGCCTACTTTAGAAGACTACAAATCTCTGGCTGGATAATTTAATGTAATTTAGAAAAATTAAATTTTTAATCTTAAGTATTAATTCAAAATAACTTATAGGTGATAACTAGAGTTAGGATGTTGATGACTTTTGCATTTTTTTTCCTTTTATTTTGTACAATGCTATCCTTGCTAAAAATTTGTTTCATGCTCCCTTGATGCAGAATATTCTAATTTTATTTTGCATTTTTTTGCATTTTTTGCATTTTTAGCTATAAATGCATTTTTTTGTTTTTTAACGTCATTTTTTTTAACATTTTAAGTCATTTTTTCATCTTTTAGGGCATTTTTTGTACTTTTTATACAATGTGGGGCATTTTTCACAAATTATAGATTTTAGGACAAATGTTACACAAAATATGTTACGCAAATATTTTTAATATAATTTTTTTTTTATTTATATTTTACTTTTTAATTTATTTTTTATATTGAAATTTATTTATAAATTATTTAAATGCTTCTACTATTACACCCATTATTATACCCATATCTCTAATAAAAATTGTTATTTATAAATAAGTTTTTTCACTTACTTAATTAGTATTTTAGATAACTTTTAAGGTCATTTTTTGACGTTTTTAGGGCATTTTTGTGTGTTTTTTAGGTCATCAACATCCTAACTCTAGTGATAATACATACTTCATTTCAATATCATTAATTATTATTGATGAAATACTCATACTTAATTACTAAAATATACTCGTATGTCGCAATTAAAAAAAAATTATCCCTAGTTCTTAGTGTTTTGATTTTTTGGAAAAAATGCATTATTCTTTAAAATTTCGTTGTTTTTGTAATTTTTCAAACTTAAATTGTATTTCCATATTATGACATTATAAGAAAATAAAACCTCTATACAACACAGCCAATGTTATCTTCTGTATTGTGTGTTAATTAACGTTTCAACTTTGACCGTATAGTCTGATAGTTAATTTTCGTTTAGTTCTTAGTTTCATAAACAATCTATGAGTGTTAAATGTACTGGAATCCTTTTATATGGCACAGAAAAAATGTCATTCGATATCTACGATTATTTCAAATATAATTTTTATGAGATAAAGGATAATTTCTAAGAAAAATGTTAAAAATTTACAAATTTTTTTTAGCAAAAATAGCTAGAAAATAATATCCTACTGACCGTTTAAAATAAAATAAGGTATATAATAATATTTATGAAATGTTGATCTAATGTTTTATACAGTGACTCTAGATTTGCGTTTCTTAATTATTCATTTAAATATACCTAATAAAGGTAATGCATTATAATTTATATCGAAAATTAACATAATATTTACGTATTTTTATATAATATTGCAATGATATTAGACTCCTACAATAGTTATTACGGTTAATTTTATAAATCTCAATTGTGTGTTAAAATAAGAACGCCTGAGTTTAAGTTCTATAATACACCATCACATCAATCCTTCATTTATGTACCTATATAAATAACTTAATGTATAAAAAATAATAATGAAAATTAAAGTAATGAGTTAATGAGAAACTAAAATATTATAAATGTTCTATGTTATGAATAATACTTTATATTTATATTTGTGAATTGAGATATAATACCTGTTAATGAATTCACAATAATAGGTAGATAATAGATATACGTCCAAATGGGCGTATGTAATTTGCGCCAAAAACAACCCAACAAAAATATATTTATGTCATTTGCGCCACATCTAAAAATGTATTTTGATTATTTGCGCTAAATAAAACAAAATAAAATAGCATTATGTAATCTGTACCATCGTATATCTACTATCTACTAAAATTGTAATTAACGCCACTAATGTTAAAATTATAAATAATTGTATGTAAGTAAAACAAATTTCATATATATTAAATAAATAAATTTTCGTTTAGTAATAAAACATATAAAAATCAAATAAAAATCAATGTAAAAATTATATTGGACACGCGTCGGTACGTATTATTGTATATCCTATGCGATAACAATAAATTTATCTGCTGATAAATTCCAACTGCAATTGAAGTTGAAAGTGTAGCGCAAATTACATATTCTATTTAATTTACTGTTGTAGCGCAAAATACCAAAATTAATTTATTTATGTGGCGCAAATATTGTTATATTTTTATATTTTGGCGCAAATTACAAGAAGTAATAAAATTGGCGCAAAATACCATCTCCCGGCCAAATGCAAGCTCCTACACGATTAACCTTTTTACCTGAATCATCATTAAATGTAAGCTCTTACATCAAAAATCTTTTTACATTTTACCTGAAAAAAATAGGATAATATAATTTTAATTCACGATTTTAGAGTTGACATGCTTAAAAAGTTAAAAATGATCATAACTTCAAAATAATAAATACCTACATAAAATACAAACATTTGAATGTGTTTATACAATATATGATGGGCTGGTTATATTTATGTTATATTCTATATTATAGGTTCAGCATTTACAGTACAAAATGTCAATAGATCAGCGATAAAAAACATAGTATGGTATCGACACAACGCAGACAAACAAAAACAATTTAAAAATATGAATTTATACTTACTTACCCAAAAAAATAAATATATACAAGGAGAAATTTCACGTTTAAAGTTTATCTCTAAAGTATACCATAAAAATAAACGTAAATGGTTATGAGTTATGGTAATTGTTTTATTAAATTTTTATATTTTTCAAACAATTTTTGTTTTAACTTATAATAGTTTATACTTTTGTATAATATTATGTATTAATATATTGTAAGATTGATATATTTTTACAGTGGTACAAGCAGTATCCTTTTTTGTCATCTTTTGTAGGAGTTAACACTATTTTTTATAGGAGTTAACACTATATTTCGTTGGAGTTAACACTAAGTCTATATAAGAAATTACATTAAATTAATTTTAGGGGTTTACCATTCGCCAGATACACGAGTACGTTCGTAACTTAAGTTTCAAATTATCAACAATAAAATACAAATAATGAAGTCTATTTCTTGATATTGCTTCCCAAATAAAATATTATTATTTGTTTAATCGTATAATATTATGTAAATAGGTACTCAAATAGCATTACATCATTACTGCGCTCAGAAATTTCTGGTAAGTTGCATGAACATAAATTACACAAATATTCTATGTAAAAAACAAGTTTACATACTAATTTTAAAAATAGGATAATATATATATAAAATATTAACATTAAATCATCTTGAGATGATTTTAAAATGTATGTTAGCTTGTATAAAAATAATTTAACTAAAATGTGTCACAATCAATGGAGTAGTTATTCAACTTACCTACATTAAGAAAATCTAGTTAACAAGTTAAAAAGTTAATATTTTTAAACTTAGTTCATTAATTGTATGATTAACTTAAAACGGCTGATTATACTATCGCTGTAACATCTTAGCTTTTTCCCGTTAATTTGAAAAATAATAGGTAGGTATGTAAAGTATATTATTTATAAGTTAAGATCATTGTGAGTATACATATAAATATTCTTTGATTTTATTGTTTTTTCTATATTAACAACTTTAAAATATATAATTTGTAAACCATTAATTTATCACCGAATTAGATTATGAAGATGTTGTTTTAATACCTATACTAATTTTGACTTAGTGCATAGAATGGATTAACATACTTGAAATTAAAAATAAAACAAAAGACTAAGATATAAAAACATTATTTGTGTTTGTACATTAGATTTTTACTGTACTTAAATTATTAACCTAGTTACGAGAATGTTAAATATTGCAATTAAAAAATATTCATTAATATAAATATCGTAAAAGACTAACTTAATAATAGTTCTATTCAATTTAAAATCAGAAAATTAATTATGTTTAACGCATATTTGCCATGTTTTCGATTTAAATATGGAGACTACACATTTAAGTGTATCACGCTCTTAAAGTTGACTTAACTCTAATTCAAGTAAAGATATTTCATTAACTAATCCAATTTTAATGAATTTAATGACAATATAAAAATAATATTATAATGTTATACATATTACTAATAATAACTATTGTATATTATGTACCTACATAATTATCATATAGTCATTAAACTTTCCAGTTACAATAAACTAATAAGTATTATTGTCACTTTTGTAATTTATGCAGTTTTTAAAAATTGTATTCCATCGATAAAGTTACTCATCTGTTTATAATAATTATACCATTTTCAATACACTTTTTAAATCATTGACATACGTCTAATTTTATATTTTTATTCTAATGAAAATGATCAATTATATTATTAAATTATTTAAATATTTTTTTTATATATTATATAAAGACAATAATGATGAATTATAATATTATTTTTTTTTTTTTTTTACATATTTTTTGAACTTTTTTTTTATACATACATAAACTTACCGACAGGCTATTTTTTTAAGTTGCTTTTGTAACATCTTTATAAAGAATGACTATATTAATGTTAATAATATTCGTTTTATTTATAATAACAGATACAGTAAAAGCCGCTTATTAGAAACACTTTGGGACCAAGGTGAATTGTGTCAATTAACCGATTGTTTCTAATAAGCGATTGAAAAAAAAAAAAATGAATAATAGGTACGCGAAAAAAATATGTATGTATGTATGTACCTATATTGTATAATTTAAAAAAGTATGCACAATTGTGTATATTTTACGATATTATGTAAAATATTTATCATTCGTAATTTGTTTTTTTACGTCGAGTAACTCCATGACCATATTTTCATACGAGTAATATTGCCCCTTTAGCTTTGTCACTTATTTTGAGTGCGTATGTGTGTTCAGGTAGAGCTCCAAAATAAAGCCCAGTCTCGTCCGCATTGAAAATATCAGAGCGTGTGTATTGGGCTAGCAAATCGGTCAAATGAGTTTCAAATCACGAATGGTCGCATGAAAATTGGCTAAAATCTTAGCGTTTAGACATTTTTAGATTTTTAGAAAAAGGAAACACTAATAATCTTTACATACGCACGCTGAAGCTAAACTACAAACGGTACGACCAGTACGTACAGAAAGAGCATTCTCGCGATAAATTACAGTAAAAATAAACGTAACGACAGCAAAGATAAAATTGAAGTACATTGGTTATCGCTAGATAATCGGTGTATATGTCAACTGACCTTCTCCCAATTGTTTCAAATAACCGATGTAATGTTTCAATAATCCGATTTATTTTCAATGTTCTAATATACGGCCGATCCGTCCCGAGACATTTTGTTTCAATAACACGATTGTATCAATTATCCGTGTTTCTAATAAGCGGCTTCTACTGTAATTTGATACTTACTAACATCGATAGATCTATTTCGATATTTTACTGATATAAATATTTGAATTCGATCAGATAAAGTAAAAGTATCTTAAATTTTCGATACCACTAATTAGACACTATTACCTATGATGTATTTATCTAGCTAAAAATGTAATCAAACAATTTATAAATCTTGGATTTTATTCATTATAATATTATAATACAAACGTTTCTCTATGATAAGATAATACGCTGAATTAAAATATTTTGTATTAATAATTGGTGGCCCTAACAAGGGCCGTTTTAAATAAATAATAACTCATGCACTATTTAAGTATTTATCAATATTTTTTAAACTTTCTTTTCAGTCTTTTTTGGTAAAAGTACAGCTTGGATGTTGGGCAACACACCGCCTTGAGCGATAGTTACTCCAGACAACAATTTGTTCAATTCCTCGTCATTTCTGATGGCCAATTGTAAATGTCTAGGAATGATACGAGACTTCTTGTTGTCACGAGCAGCGTTACCGGCCAATTCCAAAACTTCAGCTGCCAAGTATTCCATGACGGCGGCCAGATATACTGGTGCCCCTGCGCCGACACGTTCGGCATAATTTCCTTTTCTTAATAGCCGATGAATACGTCCGACTGGAAACTGGAGTCCGGCACGGGATGACCTGGTCTTGGATTTACCTCCCTTCGATTTTCCTGCTTTGCCTCTTCCGCTCATTTTGATGCATATACAAATTTCTGACTGGGTATTACGAATAAAATGGAATAGTTTTACGTAAATGGTATTCAAGTTTGTTTGAACCGAGTCTTATATAGTAAAATCACTCCTAAATTTAAATGTATTAGACATAAAACGTTTGACAATATAATACAACATGTACGACACGTAAGAATCTATGAAAAAAATAGTGTTTTACCTGAGCAAAACAAAGGGTAATCAATAATCATAGCAGATGTTTTCCCCCAAAGGGTAGCAACATCAATGAAGGGTAATGCCCACCAATGTGTGCACGTATTCAGATCCTAAAAACGGTATAAATACGGGGACACTACTATAAAAGGGTATCATTCATTTGAATCTTACTGTACAGTTCAGCAGTATACACGGTCATACATAAACATGGCTCCAGAAGGTAAATCGGCAGGAAAGGCGATGAAAAAATCGTCGGGTAAAGCGCAGAAGAACATTGTCAAGTCCGACAAGAAACGCAAACCAAAGAGAAAAGAATCATACGCCATATACATCTACAAAGTGTTGAAACAAGTACACCCCGACACTGGTGTTTCCTCGAAGGCAATGAGTATCATGAACAGTTTCGTTAATGACCTTTTCGAGCGCATCGCCGCCGAATCTAGTCGTTTAACCCACTACAACAAACGTTCAACAATTACCAGTCGGGAAATCCAAACTGCAGTCCGACTATTATTGCCCGGTGAATTAGCCAAGCACGCCGTCAGTGAAGGTACAAAGGCAGTCACCAAATACACTAGCTCAAAGTGAAATATTTTTTTCATAGTGTCCTGTAACCTATTGCAATAAATTCTAACTTAAAAAGGTTCTTTTAAGAACCACTAATTACTATCGTAAATTATGATATCATTTAGTATCGAATTTTTCACGACTATCTAATTTGGTAAAATAATATCTAGCTATTTAAAATTATAATTAATTGCAACTTTTATTACATAATGAAAATGAATTTAAATTTCCAACACAAATATCTACTATATTAATTATTTGATTCCTCCTAAGTATATCGAACCTATTAATAATAAAATTGATGAAATAACATACAAAATTGTTAATTTGTCCTTGTATAATTATGTATAACTACACAACATCTCTGATTTTGTCGCATGTCTTCCGGCATGTGTAATTGTTTACTTATAAAAACATAAAAAAATATATCATTATCTTAATAATTGGAAAATCATATAATTAAATGAAAACAAAAATTATAATATTCTGAAATAATAAAACTGTATTAGATCCGTAAATCATAGTGATCTACGGCGCACAATGTATGACGTAAGTAATACTAAATGAGTAATATAATCGACGTTAATCAACAAAAATCATAACCATGAAAAATTACGAAAAATTAAAAATTAAAATTACACGTTTTGAGTTATTGTTAGAGCCAGTTGGCGTTGAACTTTGTAAATTTTAATACAAAATATTCTACTAAAAATAAATGTATTGTTTATTACTAGGTCGCAGATTTTAATACTCTAAAAAAATACCTAAAAATGCCTTAGAAAAAATTTAATAATGATCTAAAAATTTAATTAATGACGCCAAAAAAAATGTATTAAAAACAAGAAAAATAGTATACCTAATAATTATTACAATATAATTATAAATATAAAAAAGTTAGAAAGTGGGTACCGTTCTGTTGTACAGTAGGTATCGTGTAAGTCACTGTAAATTAAATGTATTATATTTATTTTGAATTTAATGTTATATTTATGTATACGAAAAATTATTCGAATTGAGACAGTTTATCAAGTATCAGCAAATATCTTACTATAATATAATAGCATATTTAATGCTAGTAATTTATTTTACTATTTGTATGATAGCAGGCTAATTTAAAATAGGATTCCTTATTTCATATTTAAGGTATATATTGATTGTTTAGTAGTACAATAATACATTTTTATGGCCCTAAAAAGGACCTTTTTAAAAAGGACTAATTTGTTGAATTTTAGTTTAAGCACGTTCTCCACGGATACGACGAGCCAATTGGATGTCCTTCGGCATGATCGTCACACGCTTGGCGTGGATGGCGCACAAGTTGGTGTCTTCGAACAGACCGACCAGATATGCCTCACTGGCTTCTTGCAGGGCCATGACGGCGGAGCTCTGGAAACGCAAATCGGTCTTGAAGTCCTGGGCGATTTCACGGACCAGACGTTGGAACGGCAGTTTGCGGATCAACAGTTCCGTGCTCTTCTGGTAACGACGGATCTCACGGAGAGCAACAGTTCCCGGACGATAACGATGGGGTTTCTTCACTCCTCCGGTAGCGGGTGCGCTCTTACGTGCGGCTTTGGTGGCCAATTGTTTTCTGGGAGCCTTGCCTCCGGTCGATTTACGTGCTGTTTGCTTAGTGCGAGCCATAATATTTGTATGCCGCAACAGGGTTGATTTTAAATCACGACTTATCTTTAGAAGGAAGGTATACACAATGAAACCTGGTGAGTCATACAGTCTTTATTTATAGGATTTTTAGATGGTAGTTAACGTCTGATTGGACCGAGGGGTGTGGCCTTGCACCCTCCTCTGTGCAGTGGCTGTGTGATCGATGACATAAATACTGCGTTGCCGAACGATAAATTACCATTTATTTCAACAAGACTCATCTTTACTACAACTAGTAATAATACGTCTTTAGCATTAAGCAATCATGACTGGTCGCGGTAAAGGAGGAAAAGGTCTTGGAAAAGGAGGTGCCAAACGACATCGCAAAGTACTCCGGGATAACATCCAGGGAATCACTAAGCCCGCCATTCGTCGTTTGGCTCGTCGAGGAGGAGTGAAGCGTATTTCCGGATTGATCTACGAAGAGACCCGAGGAGTGTTGAAAGTTTTTCTTGAGAATGTTATTCGTGACGCAGTCACTTACACCGAACATGCCAAGAGAAAGACTGTCACTGCTATGGACGTCGTCTACGCTCTAAAACGCCAAGGCCGTACATTGTACGGATTTGGTGGTTAGGTTCAACAATCAAATTAAAATTTATTCATCCAAAATTCATCTATATTTAAAACTTTTTTCATTAAAATGGCCCTTCTTAGGGCCGCTAAATCATATGTAAATATTATCAGTTCCTGAATGCCTTAATTTTTTTCATACAGTTAAATAATAATGAATAACAGTTATTAAATAATTTATTAAAAAATGTTTTTCTATGTTTGAAGAAACGTGTAGTAACATTTTTTTTTTTTTTTTGAGTATGTCTTTAAACATTTAAAATAAAATACAAATTTGTTTCACTCTAATGTCATACACGACATTTTATACTGCTAATTGTGTTCATAATTGCGGTTTTTAGTTATAATTTTAGAAATATTTTATCATAAATTTATAAATGGCATCAAATAAATTTAGTTCAGTGTTTTTTTTGTTTGCTCAACAAATAATATTATAAGTATAATATTGTACATTTTTTCGGAAATAATGGTATATTGAAATTAGTTATTTTTTAACAAAATAACAACCAGTATGTTGGAGTACCTTAATATATTTACTTCATTATACCGTTATAGCCATCATAAAACGTTACATAAATAATGATAAAAATAAATATTTTATACGTAGAATAAAAAATTAAATGTCAATTAAATAGAAATTTGAATATTTCCCGAGTTATAGTGCGATTTATAATAGATATTTCGATTTTAAAAGTGTACCTATATTAAAGCAAGTATTTAAAGCAATACAATTCGAGCTCTATAAAGCCTTATTATTATTATTATTTAGGTAAATTACAAAAATTGTATACGACACCGCTATCTAACGACGACATGAGCAGTGGTTCTGTATACACTTATAGATTAGTTTAAAATAGCAACAGTAGAGAGCGCTGTGGTTATCAACTGACGGATTGCCCTATATAGTATTCATCATTGCTAAATAATTATGTTGCAATATATTACTTTGCTATTACACATTGATAACAAGTTGTGTAACCATTACTCTGGTGAATTTTAATTAATTTTAGGAGTCAGGACAAATGTTACAGAAAATTGTTTATCTTGAAAAATTAGTGTTTTAGTAAAAGTTCGTTTTTGATTTCAATCTCTAACCCAGTGACGTGTCGTCGATTATTATCAAAGGAGCCGCGTTCGGAATAAAAACTAAAAATAAAAATAATAATATAATAAGTAATAATATACTCGTATTGTATTAATTTTTTAATTGTAAAATATAAATCTCATAAAAAAATACTTCCTATTATAAATAATTACATGTTTATTTCACGATTAAATAAAATTAAATTAAATATTATAAATTTGTTTATTTTATATCAAAAAGAGTCGTGGACCTAAAAAGGCTGAAAACCACTGCTCTAATCTATTCATCGATTAATTATTTAAATAATTATAATAAAAGATAGTAATAAAATTCTGTGAACACATTATTCTAAAAAGCCGTGTACTTTAAACAGCGTTTACTGTTTTAACACAAACTAATTTTAATGTAAAAATGCTTTTGTAATTTACGTTTTTGTTAATGATTTATTTTACAAAATAAATTAATTTAATACATCTTTGGGGGAATAAACGAATTATCTCGTTTGATTATAAAATGCTCGATTAAAACATAAACATTTTTTATTTCTTATTTTTAATAAAAATTATTGACATCATTTTAAGTAGTTAATGCCACATTATAGTTCATAAATATTATTTTACCTACTAAAGTAAATATCATATTGAGTAATTTTGTAAAAGATACTTTTTTTTTTTATTTGATGAAAAATTCATTATTGTGTGAATTTATTTTAGCTTATATTTAAGTGACTTAGATTGTTGAAAATGTATAACTAAATTCAGTTATTAACTTTAATACAACGAAATATTGTTTTATAAATTATAAAAATAGAATTTTTAAAAAACCATTATAATTCATACTACAAAAGACACACAAAAAACAAAGACAACCATGATAAATCAAAAATGAAACATAATTAGCAAGATAATCATTTACAATGAAAATTTTTCATTTAAATAAATTTCTACAATTAAAATATCTCCTGTTGTAAGAACTGAAAATGAAAAATAATTCATAAGAACATTGCACTTTAAACATAGCTCCATGCACATGTATACAGATCTCAATGATTGGTCAGACGTAGACTGCCATTACATTCAAATCAACCGAATTATCAAAGAAAAGTAATACATTAAATTTTAAACAAAGCTTAAAACTAATTGGTTATTCTTTATTATTATTGAAATGAAAAGGTTCCTCTCAGTTATCTCAATGGGAGTAATAATATATAAGCGATATATTATCGATAATTAAATCTACATCAAACCATTTGCAATTGATTATTATTTTATTATAATGTATAGCAAATAAACGCACTTAGGACGTACTTTGATATGGAATCGTCGTATGCTCTACTGTATCTTTAAAGTTAAAATTTAACATTGATAATCAGTGCAAACACCAATAAAGATTACAATGAATACTAGGCTTATTCACTCTATAGATGAGTAAGCTTATCATGGACACTATCTACGCGTACATAACACATTCATTAAATAGAACATTATACTAATTGTGAGTCAGGGTTTACATAAGTCTTAGAACCTTAGTTTTGTCCGTCCAAAATTCATTTTGATTTTGTATGGTAATAAACTATTTATTTATCGAAGGTGGTGGCCCCAGCACGTCCGCCGTAGCGGCCTTTATTAATACAATAATTTCAGAATTAACCTCCGAAACCGTACAGAGAGCTGAGCTCCTGACTTGAGACGTACGAACTACCATGCAGGGTGATTATCCTTCCGGCTGTGCTCGGATAGGGTGACGCGCGTCACGGATCACGCGTTTCGCTAAGAATCACTTCAGTAACACCACGGGTTTTCGTAGATCCGCGGAGATGCCTTCACACCGCTCACGGCGAGCTAACTGACGAATGAAAGGGGTTCTTGGTGATTTCGATGGCTCACGCAACACTTACGATGACGTTTGGCGCCTCTTCCAAGATCTTCTCCTTACCGTCCGGTACAGTTGACTTCGGTGGTTTTAGTTGAGCGTCGAGAGTAAACCGGCCGGAGCTGTGTACGTTAACTGATGCCCATTCGACGAGAACAGTGTATTTATTCGTAATAGCAGCGCACTCCCGCCAATCGAAAGTGGACGGTCGGATTTCCACCTTATACACATTACGGCGTATCGACCAATGAGATGAACGATGTTCCGTAACGTATAAATACCGGAGAATTTATTCGGGTAACATACAGTTTTATAAGTTTCAACATTCGCAACCAGCAGACGTCAACAAACGTAATGGCTCGTATACGCAAACAGCACGTAATCGACCGAGGCGGGCTCCCAGAAACACATTGCCAACAAAGCCGCATCGTAAGACGCGCACCTGCCAGCCGAGGAGTGAAGAAACCATCGTTATCGTCCGGGAACCGTCGCCTCCGTGAGATCTTCGTCGTCAGCCAGAAGATAGGAACTGTTGAGTCCGCAACTCGCCCGTCTTAAAGTTCACCGTGAAATCGCCCAAGACCAGACTATTATGTTTCAAGTTCGCCGTCATGGCCTCCTGCAAGAGGCCAGTGAAGCCTATATTGTGGTCTGTTCGGACACCAACTTAGTGGCTATCCACGCCAAGGTGTGACGATCATGCCGAAGGAATAATTCATTGTGTCGTATCCGTGGGAGAACGTGTGCCTAATTTCGCTTGGACCTAATACACACTTCTAAACGGCCCTTTTAATCCATCAAATTATTCTAGTTTTAACCCGGGATTAGTAATAGCTATTTTATAGTAGTACTTAACACTTTTTCTTTGAATAATTATATAGGAACTAGTACTATTTTAATTTAAATCACTATTTACATATATTATTACCTATTTTTAAGGTCATTTTCAAGCAATTACTTCTTCTACCATGTAAGTTTTCAAGAATCAAAGGTAACGATACTTATTATTTATCAATTCTTGATAATAGATTATGCCGTTCGTGCATGATACTTTTATAGAGTAATATTATTATTTTAATAACTAATAAATCTATTTATATAAATTAATTAGTATCACATTAAAATTCACTTCATTTTATAAATATTTTCCACTTAGCTATACTTGTTCCGTATAAATTAAAAATTTTTTAAATACAATTAAATGAAAAACAATTATGTACCTACATCGTTTATTTAACGATACATTTTTAATATACAAACGTACAACAGTAAATAATTGTGATTTTTATAAATTAAAAGCATTGTTGTTTATAACAATTAAATTTAAAAATTATTTCATACTGCAAGTTCAATCTCGAACATATAAAATTGTACTACGAGATTCAATTTTAAATTAAACAACGTTATAGATATTTTTAAGAAGTACTTAAAAACAGTCATAAAATCACTTAAATATGTTATTAAATTATTTTATTAATACCTGTAATAAAATGTGCTTGGTAAAATTAATAACTATTATACTGCCGTTTATTGAGTATATTATTATGATGGATCCGAATTATGATTATCCGAATACTAATGCAGTAATTGTAGTATATTAATATAATCATTGGATAATATAAGATAACATTTATCTTAAATAAGTATTGCTCAAAATTTCGCTAAAAGTATTTGCTGCTTTTTATAAATCTAAATCGATATGCTGCTAAATATTTAAAACAAATAACCTACGTGAGATTTACCCGAACAGGTTATTTATCGTATTTTAATTTAATATAACTGCCAACTCTAAAACCTGAAACATACGAATAGGTACCACGTTTTATGTCTTCTGCGTTAATTTATCTTATTATTATAATTAAAATATTTAAATTATCATTTGCATGAGATACTTCCTTCCTAAAAGGTAAGTAATTATTAATTATTTAATTC